TGGGAGGGGGTGAGGTGGGGAAGGGGGGGAAGTGGGGAGGGTGGATTCTAATGAAATGATTGAGTTTTAGTTTTAGTAGTTTTAGTAAGAGTTTCATTGCACTTGCAAAACAACCAGGTCATTTTAGTGTCGAAGATTAGAATTTTACTACTAGAGAATAACATACAATGAAAAAAATGTGGAAAGATAAGAGAAGGAGGAGAGATAAGGATGGCAAACTTTGGATTGGAAAGAAAGAAGAGAGATAAGGATGACAGATGTTGGACTGGAAAGAAGGAGGAGAGATAAGGATGATACATGTTGGAGGAGAGATAAGGACGACACATGCTGGATCGGAAAGAAGGAGGAGAGATAAGGATGATACATGTTGGACAGGAAAGAAGGAGGAGAGATAAGGATGATACATTTTTGTAGACTGACCAATCATCTATCTCATCCTCTATAGACTGATTAACTATTGATCTAACCCTCTACAGAGACCACCTCAACTGACCAACAAGGTACATGGCACAATCCCTCCGTTGTGTCTGGGTTTAACGCCTCTATCAGTACCATAAGTTTTATGTAAGAGGCGGGACCTCCAATATTAACGTCCATCTCTGATAAGACTCACAAAAATGGGTTGAGAGCCTTAAAAACTCCACAAAATGTGCTGAGTTCAAGAATGCCCAATCTGAGATTTGAACCAGGGCCTTCCGCTCTACAGTCCAGTATGATGATATCAACCGAGCCACAGAGCGGCGCCCCCAACCATGTAAGTCTAAGCCCTCCTCTCCCCCCGTGGAAACAACAAAGAGACCAGCAAGGCACGGCACAGGGACTCGAACTCACAGCCTCCTGCGAAGCACTGAAGTCCTGGGCCCAGTCCTCGGCCACTTCCTCGCCGCTCTTACCAACCAACTGGTTGTCCTTGATGCTCACTTCACCTGCCCCGATCTTCTTCACAAACTTCATGAACTGCTCACCAATACACGAGAGAAAAAAAAAAAGAAGAAAAAAAATGTTTGTTTGTTTTTTTATTATTACTTTGCTTTTTTTTTCTCCTTCATCCCAAAGTGTGTAAAATTTATTTTCAGAAGTTGACAATATGAGAGATAGCAGCAGCAGCAGTCGACAATAGCAATGATATGTGAGTGGGCTTAATGTAAAAATAGGACATAGAAGGCACAAATGTAAAGATAATTAATCAATTAATCTTTTTCGCTCTGTCTTTCTCTTTATCTCTCTCTCCCTCTCTTTCTCTATCACATCCACACACATATACACACATATGCGTATGCATGCACAAGCACACTGATATGTTTAAAGAACTAACAAATCAATAACTAAATAAATATCTTTTACTTTTAGTAAGAGTTTTACGGCACTTGCAACACAATAAGGTCATAAAAGTGACGAAGACTAGAGATGTTACAAGAGAGTAACAAACACACAAAAAAAGGAGGGGAGATAAAGACGATAGACGTTAGATAGGAAAGAAGAAGCAAACCAAACCAGAGCACCCGCCAACCAGCCACAACTAAAACTAAATATCTATCTAATTCAGTTATTATATATGTTCTTGAAGACAGCAAGTCAAGAAAGATAGTAATAACATAGAAAAGAGTACAGTACACATCTTCTGCCACTTTCAGTTTTCGAATACAGTAATCCCTTTTAGAATACACAACTGACATCCCACTTGTCTGTCTCTGTACAATTTACATTGATTACCAAATCTGTCCCCGTAGTTTTATGCACCCCGCATAATTTAGCTAAATTTGATCATTTAAAAAAATAATTTCTGATTATTTTCCTTTATTATTCTTTGTTAAAACTAACAGAATCGTATAATTTCACATTTTTGGGCTCAGTTTGCATAATTTCAGAACTTTTCTTGCATAAAAAGACGGGGACAGCTAAATAAACAACCTGAGTATGGCTGTAAAGTTACAAATGTTCAATAAATATTCAGAAAGCATTGGTTAGTCACAAAAAAATCCATCTCAGAGTCATTTATCAGCCTCTCATCTCATCAGAGATTTATCGACCTCTCATCTCACCAGACCTCTTATCTCGTCAGTCATTTACCAACCTGTCATTTCATCAGTGTTTATCAACCGTTCATCTCACCAATGATTTATCAATCTATCATCTCATCAGTGATTTATCAACCTCTCATCTCACAGGTGATTTATCATCCTCTCATCTCACCAGTGATTTATTTAACAACCTCTCACCTCACTAGTGATTTATCAACCTCTCACCTCATAAGTGATTTATCAACCTCTTACCTCACCAGTGATTTATCGCCCTCTCATTTCATCAGCGATATATCGACCTCTCACCTCACCAGTGATTTATCAACCTCTCATTTCACCAATGATTTATCTTCCTCTTATCTCATCAGCGATTTATCAACCTCACATCTCACCAGTGATTTATTTATCAACCTCTCACCTCACCAGTGATTTATTTATCGACCTCTCACCTCACCAGTAATTTATCGATCTATTATCTCACCAGTGATTTATCGACCTCTCATCTCACCAGTGATCTATCATCCTCTCATTTCATTTAGCGATTTATTGACCTCTCACCTCAGAGTTGTTGATCTTGGGGTCGTTGACAGCTCCTAGCAGCGCGTTGGCGGTGTCCTCGAGCTCCGTGTCGCGGGCCGTCTTGGAAAACTCATCCACCCAGCGTGTGTCGTCCAGCAGCTCCTGGCTAAACTCTGACGACCTGATGCACAAACATCGCCAAGTTTAGTTTTAGTAAAAGTTTTACGGCACTTGCAATACAATAAGGTCATATAAGTGCAGAAGATTAGAAGTGTTACAAGAGAGTAACAAACACAAAAAAGGAGAAGGGGAGATTAAGACGATAGATGTTTGATAGGAAAGAAGAAGCAAACCACACCAGAGCACCTGCCACCCACCCATAGGGACCGAGTCTGATGAGTTGAGAGCCTTGAAAACTTCACAAAAAGAGATTAGTTCAAAAACGCCTAGTCTCGGATTCAAACCAGAACCATTCATTCCGTAGTTCAGCATGATGCCTACTGAGTAAACCAAGCCCCCTCGCCATTCATAGTTTGTGAATTATCGAATCAAATTGTTTTATTGTTTTATGTTACAAAGTCCAAAATCGGACCTATATTACAGAAATGGAACCAACAACTCTATACAAATAGCAAAGTCTCAAAAACAAACAACTCACCAGACCTGAATGTCCATCTGACCCAGACACTGACAAACAAACAAACAACAGATCATGCCTCGGAGGTGTCTGTCTGACGCAGATACTGACAATAAACAAACAAACAATCAAACAAACAAACAAACAAACAACCCACCAGGCCTCGAGGATGTCTGTCTGACCCAGACACCGACATACAAACAAACAATCTAACAATCAAACAAACAATCAAACAAACAAACAACACACCAGGCCTCTGGGATGTCCGTCTGACCCAGATACTCGGCGGCCAGTTTCTCCTGCTCAGGGAGCTCCAGGTACTCCTGCGCCCACTTGACCCCCCGGTCAGCCTGCCCCTGGGGCAAGCGGTCAAACTCGCCGGCCCACTGGTCTCCGCGACCCGCCGTCAGCTGTTGGTTGTTGGCCGAGGCCGAGGAGAGAAATTCCTGGGACCAGTCGCCAGTAGAGGCCAGCTCAGCGATACCTGGGGCTGTTTTGTTGGGTGTGTGTGTGTGTGTGTGTGTGTGTGTGTGTGTGTGTGTGTGTGAGGGACAGGTGGGGAGGTGGGGGGAAGAGGTACATCCACACATTAACAGTCATTTAAAGTTTGAGTAAACATACAGACACATTAACCCTATCCATACGTCGTGTTTTACTATCGTATCCATACGACGTGGGGAACTCTGTGACATCACTTTCCAAAGAGGAAATTTACTTGTTAATCCGATCCGTATGCTTTGCATAGCAGTCTGTCAAAATGATTTTTTGAGAAATATTGAAAGTTTCGAAGAGATTTTCGCACTAGAAGTATTCTAAAAGGTGAAGAATACCACCCCGGGGGTACAAAATGATCCCAGGGTGTACGGATAGGGTTAACGGTTATTCAGTGTTTGAGGGAAGAGTTGTACATCGTCACATTAACAGTAACAGTCTTCAAAAGTTTGAATAAAGACATCGACACAATAAGGGTCATTTACAGTTTGAGTAAAGAGAAGCACATCGACATATCAACGATCATCTAAAATCTGAGCAAAGAGAAGCACAGAAGCGCATATCGACACAATAATGGTCATTTTGTGTTTAAATAGAGAGTAGTACAACAGCACATTAACAGTCCCTCAAAGTTTGAGTATAGAGAAGCACATCGACACATTACTGGTAATTCAGTGTTTGAGTACAGAAAAGCACATCAACGCATTAACGATCATTTAAAATTTGAATAAAGTATTAACAGTCATTTAAAGTTTGAGTAAAGAGAAGAACGTCGACAGATTAATTACAGGTAACAGTCATTTAAAGTTTCAGTTTTAAAAAAAAGCACATCACCAAATTAACGGTCATTTAAAGTTTGAATGAAGAGAAGCACATCCACATATTGATGGTCACTAAAACTTTGAGTGAAGAGAAGTACATCAACTCAAAACGGCCAAAGATGTCAGTTAGAACTTTGACTGTACTCCTAAGGTAGCCAGACGTCCACCCACCTCTCTGTGGGGCGTGGATCATCTCGGCCCCCTCTATCTCCCTCATCTCCTGTAACAGGCTGCCCATGTGGAACGTCTGAGGCGCCATCGCCGTCTGGTGGCTGGACAGAAACTCCCCAACCAGCTGAAACAAAACAAAACAAACAAAAATCCAAAATTAAATATTTTTTTTTAAAGTACAGCCGTGAACTTTAGATTTAACCTTCTTTTCGAAAACCTGACAGAATAGATCGTAGCGAACTGACACTTGAGCAAGTGGTCCCAGGAATTTCTCTGGGATGGATCCTGAAGGGGGGGAGGGGGTGAGAAGAGATGGACATGTTCCGACTGTAGTGACCCCAACACAGAGGACAAGGTGTGACAAGGTGTGAACCGACACTTTTAACAAACAGAAACCCTTGCCACTCGGAAAGGAAGGGCCCATATTCTATGAAGAAAATAAAACAATCACAACTGATAACCCACCCACCCGCACACACACACACACATAACCACCCCTCAGGACACAGAACTTAATCGTAGCTTACCTCATCAGTGCTTGTTTGAGCAAGTGGCCGATTAATCTGAAAGAAAACAAACATTAAAAAAATGGAATTTCTAGAAATCAGAAACCACAAATTGAAAATGAGAGCACAACAAACTTTAATAAAGAAGCATACATTTTTTAACAAGCTCTAAAAATGTCACTAAGGACTGCAAGTGTCACTAGGGACTCTAAAATGTGTCACTGGGGACTCAGGGACTCTAAAATGTGTCACTGGGGACTCTTTAGTTTTTAAAGTTTCAGTAGAGGTTCTACGGCGCTCGCAACTGCATATAAGGTCATATGAGTGCCAGAAGATTAGAGGTGTTACAAGAGAGTAACAAACATAAAAAAGGAGGAGAGATAAAGACGATAGTTGTTCGATAGGAAAGAAGGAACAAACCACACAAGAGCACCCGCCAACCACCCACACTGGGAACTCTAAATATGTCACTATGGACTACAAGTGTTACTGGGGACTCTACAGATTCCACTGCAGACTCTACAACAAATGTCAATGGGGACTCTAGAAGTATCACTATGGACTCTACAAATACAATTGGGCACTCACCTCATAGGGTTTGGGTGGCGGAAATCTTCCTGTAGCTCCATACGCCTCCTGGTCACAGGAAAAAAAAAAAAAATTGATTGAATCAACACTATGACTTATGTTACTGTTTCAAGTTTGAAACATTGCTTCTTTGCTTTGTATATTGACTGCTCTTAATTTGCTTCTGATATCAAAGTGAACAAAGATCGATTCATTTTGGGTTAAAAATATACAAGAATCAAACATACTCTCAAAGATGCAAATAGTTCACTTAACTCTATATTTTTCACTGAAAACATACTTCCAAAGACTGATAGAAACTACTTACTATGCAGCTTTATTTTTCAATGAAAACATACTTACAAAAAGACAGATATGTAAACTATTACTTTGCTGTTACATTTTTCACTGGAAACATACTTACAAAAAGACTGACAGAAAATCAACTTTGCTGCTTTATTTTTCTGGAAGGAGTGGCAATCAAGGTAAGCTGCAGCATGCCAGCTTACAGTAGTTGTACTCTCTGTAAGCAATTCCCAAACAGGAACACACATACATATATATACAGACATATTAGTGTTGAATCCTACAACAAGTTTAAACTTGTATGACAATAATATGGGTCACGTTGTGGTGGAATCAGAATCTCGTCAATTTTGGGGCATACGGAGTTGATGGTATCATCTTTAAGGCCTTTCCATTTTCCTTGTTTTGGGTGAAAATAATATCCATCTATGTTGAATAGAAGTCGAGATATGGCGATTGAAGGAGGTAGCGGTCACCTGGTTTCAGAGTTAAAATTAGTGAGAAAATAGCCGCCAAAGATGAGTTAATTTTCTTTGCTTAAGAGTCCACAGAAACTGAAAATTTACATTTTTTGTGCCTTTAATCAATGCTTTTCAGTAAAATCCACACAGAAATGTGTTCTTTAATGGGCATGAAAGGTATTGGGCCAAAAAAAGAAAATTCTTCACTTTGATCATTTTGACGAGCGTCTGATTTCACCACGCTGCTTCCCATATTATCATTCAAGATTACCTGCTTGAGGCCTCTGTCTTGTGTGAAGTGTGAGGTGAGTTTCATGAGAGAGTTGGGGCCACCACACTCGCCCTCCACCAATCCTCTCCCGGCCATGCTGAGCTAAGAGTTCTGCCTGCTCCTGTCTTTTTTGTGCTGTTGTTCACTCTCAACCTGTTGGGAACACATGACAACATTCTTATTTCATCAGTGGCTTTCAGTCACATGGGACGGCAAGCTTCCTCTGTTATACCAGGTTCTTTTGTTCACGACTCGAATTTGATTTATCACAATTTTAAAATAAATTAGCTTATTTATTTAATACTGAATTCATCATCATCATCATTTCTGAATGCAGCCATCAGGGTTCAACATTCATGATTCCTTTCTCTGCTTAGATGTTAAAGCTGATTTTGGCCATCTTTGACGATGACTTTAAATTTCGACTTTATTTTGTGAACTGATTTTCACATTGAAATTGAAAGCGTTTGATTGATTGATTCCCATAGAGGTGAGCCAGTTGTTAGCAGAGCCAGACTTGACTACCATTCTCACAAGTTACTGGTACCGGTTCACTCTTCTATTCCATCGTTCAGAGTCCCTTTTTTATAATCTGGTGCTATATTATATCATTACAGTACGCAAAAGATTTCCCCTACTGGGTCTGTATACTTCGAGACTTTGTTCCCGGTCACCGAGTCTGTATATACACGAAAACGGAAACGAATAAAAACGGGCGAGAATAGTAGACTGTCGTTATCGTCTGAGCCAGTTAAACCAGATTAGCCTCATCAATTTAGCCCCCAAAAGCAGCACATCTGCGTGCCGCTGTGAACACAGTAGATATATCTAGATTTAGATCTAGAAATTATCTGAAAATCGCCGACTCACATTGCCACTGCCTGCGACACACAATGTGTCAATTGAGTTGTTACGGACCGACCACCGACAGCACTGTCCCACTATCAATACTATCATCAGACTTCAGACAGATCTCTAGAGATTTTCGTTTCAACCAACAACTAAAATTTACATGTAGGCTTAACCTTAACGGTAATTTAACTCTTGGAGAAATAAAATAGACAAAAAGCTACCCATATAAGAAGCGACAATGACGAATTTCCTCCTTGTTTACCTTTCAGTGCCCTATCATCGCCCTATGCGGTAGCTGGCAGTGGTACTTTCCACTCCGTACTATAAACTTTGACCCCTCTAACCGGATGTTGTTTCGTAGCTTTGGTTTCATATTTTACAATTCGCAACTTTATCATGAGATAATTAATTTTAATGCCACTACATTTCATTATGATAATATTATACATTACGTTTATTTCACCACCTTATATAAACTCATTTGTAGCTCTCTCCAAGCGACTTACCAGTCACTCACGTTTTAGCTTTTTATTTTATTTTTGTTGTTGTTTTTTTACCCACGTAGGACCAGTATAATAATGCAGTTGTTCGAAAACTATCATAAAATTTTAAAAAGTCGTCAGAAAATGATAAAAATAAAAACAAATTGTTGCCAAGTTTAAAAAAAATTAATTAAAATTCGAGGAGCCTGTATGGTATCATAACATGCAATTCGTCCTCAGCGAGGCGTTTATATCATAGCCTACCTTGGGCACAGTCCAAAATGTAGGCCCTCATTGATCAGGATCAAATTCGGCCTATAATATTATATTAGTGAATTTGTTCCTCCACTCTGAAGCTCGTCAGCAAACTCCTAGCAAAATCAATCTGGTTTGTTGGTCCTGAGAGTGAAAATTGACTTTAAAAAAAGGTTGTTCCACGAAATCTGCCCCCCACCAAAAAAAAAATAATTTTAAAAAAATATAATATATACACACACACACACACACACATAGATCTATATAGGCCTAAAACAGAGATATATAAATTTTAAGAATTACAACAGGGGATCTTGTAATAGCTATTAGTATTATTATGAAGATAGATGTGAACTGTGGTCCTGCTGGAGTTAAATAAATATACAACAAGAACAGTGGACGTTATCAACATCCTGCACTGGTGTCCAGCCATGATAATTCCCCATGTCAAGTGCTACAACGTAAAGTCAACCCTATCTGCACGTCGTGTTTTACTATATCGTGTCCATACGACGTGGGGAACTCTGTGTCATTAATCCGATCCTTACGCTTTGCATAGCAGCCTAGTCTGTCAAACATGATTTTTTGAAAAATACTGAAAGTTTCAAAGAGATCTTCGCACTAGAAGTATTAAAAAATGTTAAGAATACAACCCCGCGGGTACAACATGACACCAGGACGTATGGATTGGGTTAAAGATACAGAAAACTGTTGACGTGCCATGTCCAGCTGTGACTGTGAGTATAGAGAATGTAAGCTTGGATGAATGGGAGGAGTTTACCTAAAAAAGACTTTTACTTTCAGTTATCTGTGTACAGGTTCTCTGCTGGGGGCTCTCGTGGCCTAGAGGTTAAGCTGTTCGTCTCTCCTTCAAAAGGTCCCGTGTTCGAATCCGCAAAGCGACGGAAAGTTTTCTTCTCTAAAATTTTCTTATTTCACCTTCACATCCTTTCCTGCCCTTTTAACAATGTCCTGTCATCTGCTTTCGTCTCCATTTTCTGCCCCCACCCCTGCACCTCCTTTGCCCTCTCTGGGCTCCTGACTCCTTCTGCAGGCTTTCTACTGCTACTCCTTGGCTCCTTTTAACTGCTATCTTTCAGCCACATCCCTGATCTTATGGTGGGAAAGATCTACACCTAGCCTTCTCGGACAAGGTTGAAAAAGCTCGGAGGTCCACTGTGCACGTTAAAGATCCCTTGGTGGTCCAAAATCGATATATATATATAAGAGCTGGCTTCGGCTGCGCCAAAATTCAAAATTTCATACCAACAGAAAAATGTTTGGTGTGTCATATTATGATCTTATGGAGTTGCGAGTGTCGTAAAACACTTACCAAAACACCCCTACAAATCAGCAAGAAATCTAAACAAACAAACAAACAAACAAACAAACAAACAAACGAACAAACAAACAAACAAGAAAACAACAAAAACACCAGGTTCTCTCTGAAGACAAACAGGTGGCACTCGGACACTTTTATAATCACAGTGTGAGCATGACGTGTATCGTCAAGTAGTAGGCCCACCACAGACATTGCAGACTCCTGATCAACTCAATACACACGAAACTGTGTGAAGAACTTCAAACTCAGATCACCCGGTGTCTCGTAAGAGTTGGTCGTTCGTATTCCAGGTAGGCCGGTGTTCAATCCTTGTCGTCTGTGACTGAACATCCCAAACAACTTACTTTACTTCATCATCATCCGGTGCCTTGCCGACTGGTGTGGGCGGTCATGGACCTCTACTGCACTTTGTCTTGCGTTGCAGCGATGGTGTCTGTTGTTCTTGCTGTTCCCAGCCGCGTTGTTAACTTGTCCAGTATCTTTTCCCTCTGTCTGCCTCTGCCCCTCTTTCCATCAAACTTGCCTGTTGTTACAATTTTCTCCAATGCTTCTTTCCGCATTGTGTGTCCAGGGAAATTTGCCTCTCGCTTTCTGTCTTACTTTATTTACTTTTACTTTAACTTTTTCATCCTCGGTTGCCGTTAAGCATCGAGGGGAGATGCAGTTTTCTATTGTCGGCCATAAAAAAAACCAATTAATGTTTCCTGAGGCATACAAATAATAGCAAAATTTCCCCTATTTCGAAAAAAACTCCTTGCTTGTTTTGTTTTTTCATTATTTAAAGCAGCTTTTGTGTTGTGCTATTTTTGTTCATTGTTGTATAGTTACACCTTTTTAGTTTTTAGGTCATTGTCTCCCTTACCCAAGCATTTATTAAGTTGCTGTTGATGAAATACTTCATTGAATCAACTTCATGAATGAGGAGTCCTCTGGTATTGTGACTGGGTGTTCTACCTTCAAAATCAACTATACTGATATATCAACTATATCAAGGCATACTGATCATTGTTGATTATGAACGTCTTTTTACATTTAATGTATGAGGTTTACGTTTATGGGTGAATTTGACAGTGACAATGTTTAAAAATTAGGAAGGGAAGCAATGATTATTTGATTATATAGACGCTTCGCCACAGGATAGACACACACACACACACACACACACACACACACACACACACACACACACACACACACACACACACACACACACACACACATACATACATACACACACACACACACACCGAAAGAGAGGGAGAGACAAAGACAGACCGACAGACAGACTCACAGACACGCAGACACAGACACACACACAGACACACACACACACATACAGAGGGAGAGAGAGATGGAGAGAGAGAGAGAGAGAGAGAGAGAGAGAGAGAGAGAGAGAGAGAGAGAGAGAGAGAGAGAGAGAGAGAGAGAGAGAGAGAGTTCCCACTCAATAATAAATGGAATACTTGGAAAAAGGCTCCAAGTTCCATAAATCTGTGTAAAGTATTCTCTCAAAAGCCATTTCCTCAGTCATTTCCCTTCATCTCCAGCCTTTGCTCCATGAGTCTCATTGACCGATAGTTTGGCCTAGAGTTTTTTTTTTTAAAGCACAACGTCACATCACAAGTAAAGTGTTTAAGATTTTAAAGAAACAAAACACAGTTGATTTTGAAGGTAGTCAATACTAGAGGAGTCCTCTTTTTTAAAGTTAGTACCGGCAACCCGAAATAACTGTTTGAGTAAGGGAGACAATTACCTTAAAAAGTATTGTTAAACAGCAGTAAACAGAAAAACAGAAAAGCCGCTTTTATTAAGTGAAAGACAAATCCAACAAAACTTTTAACATGTCGAAATATTAGGATATGTTTCAAACCTCAGTAAGCCCTTAGAAAGTACATTTTTCAAAATGAACAAAATGACTGATAGAAAATATTCTAAGCAAAACCATAATATAATTTAACTGTTAGTACACCGACTATATAAACGAATCGAGATACTTGGCAGGTTAGGCTGTTACGCTGTTACGCTGTTGGGCTGTTGTAGAATGTTGTAGAATGTTAGAAATAGTAACAAGGAGTAGCTGTAGAAAGGCTACTGAAACCCAGAGGACGGAGCAAAGAAGTAGAGGAGGTTTGTGCAAAATGTGTATACGACCGGAAAGCAGACAACAGAACATTGCTAGAGAACAGGAAAGGAGGTGAAAGGAGACATTTTTAAGGAAGAAAAATGGACGGTCGCTATCCGAAGCCTACTCTTATCGATTTTGGACCACCAGGGAACCTTTAGCGTGCGCATCTTGCACACAGGACCTCCGAGAAAAGTGAAGGCGATAACAGACGACAGAATATTTCCAGAGAGTAGGAAAGGGGATGAAAGACAATTTTTACAATGCCAGAGACAATCTTTACAATGACCACGACAATTTTTACAACGACAGAGACAATCTTTACAACGACAATCTTTACAATGACAATCTTTACAATGACAAAGACAATCTTTACTACGACAATCTTTACAATGTCAATCTTTACAATGACAAAGACAATCTTTACTACGACAATCTTTACAATGTCAATCTTTACAACGAAAATGACAATCTTTACAACGACAATCTTTACAATGACAATCTCTGCAACGACAAAGACAATCTTTACAACGACAATCTTTACAACGACAATCTTTACAACGACAAAGACAATCTTTACAATGACAATCTTTACAACGACAAAGACAATCTTTACAACGACAAAGACAATCTTTACAATGACAATCTTTACAACGACAAAGACAATCTTTACAACGACAATGACAATCTTTACAACGACAAAGACAATCTTTACAACGACAAAGACAATCTTTACAATGACAATCTTTACAACGACAAAGACAATCTTTACAACGACAATCTTTACAACGACAATCTTTACAACGACAAAGACAATCTTTACAATGACAATCTTTACAACGACAAAGACAATCTTTACAACGACAATC